TTCATAAAACATGCAACTGGACAGTCTACACAAACACAAACCAAATATGAATATTTTAATTTCAAGATGGAGAAATAATTAGTTTTTACAGTAACATTTATTGTTGAGATTAAATCTTCATTTTACTAGTATCATGAAGTACACAATGTCCTTTACACAGATATAAGATCTTGGGTGGTAAATTACAATAACATTTGGAAATTGCCCATAATCATAACAGGAATCCTTTCCTTATTTGAAATTAACAAGGGAATTTTTTGAAGAATAATATATAAATTCATCCTTTTTTAATATGAGACATACATACACCCATGCCCCTCTAGCGCAAACACATAACTCCAGATAAAGTTGATAAGAGCAGCATGTGGTGTGTTTCAATGAGCAGGAGTTACACCTAACAAAATTCAAACATTTGAAAAATCATACAAATTGGTGCAAATTGTTTAGCACCAACTGCAAAGTTCACTAGGAATGATCAGAAGAAGAAGCTAATAAAATTTATGTTCACACACAACTCTTCTTAAAAGTGGAAAGTGTGATAATTTAAAGCAGTGATTATTATGATCATTCTAGCGGACTTCTCAGAAAATTGTAAATGGCTGAATTGTCCCTGAGGCAGAAGGCTTACTTTATTTTTCCAAAACAAGATATTTTCTCATTCTTTGCTAGTCTCTAAAGAACTACTGTGCAGATTATAATAGTCTGTCTAGGAATTGCATGCATTTTATAACTATTTGCAAGTTTTCAAGAATACATTTGAATGACATCATTTGTAAGGGTTCCACTTATATGGCCTTGATTTAATATTTAAACTTTCTTTGGGGAAAAATGTTTAATATTTTCTTTACAAAATTACTCAAGTGAGGAATCAGGAGAAGCACAAATCAAATAATACTTTCAAAGAAAGAAAAACTATCCTGATGAACAATGCCCACAGTATAACTACCTTCTATTACAAATAGCAGAATGGAAGTAAATGTATGCAGACAATGAGAGGCTAAGAGACATTGTTCACAGGATAAATTTGATTAATGGTCACACTGATTTTGTGACAATAACTCTGGAAGGGATTTAGGGCTGAGATGAAACGACGGACAAAAGAGAAGATAGCAACCAGTGCTTCAATGGCTGCCATACAATCCAGTGGTGGAGCTCATCTGACACCACAGGAAGCTCAGGTCGCTTGGACAATTGACCCAAAGTTCATCCCAGAGATTTCTGACTGTGACATCACTACAGTGCATAGGTGAGCTTTTTGATAGGTTCACAGACATTTATGTCACAATCCCAAAAAAGTGTATTGAAAGTTGTGCCTTGGGATCCAGCTTAGTTGTATGTGTTATGGGTGCAGGACAGTGTGCATTTTTTGATATTTTAATAATTTCAGCACTCCCTGCACTTTTCAGTCTCTACATTTTAGACAGCCCTAACACAAACACTCTGGTTTCCCAACTGGCTTCTTTTTGTGTGTTGTCCAATGTATGTAGATTCCTCCATCTTCCTGGCCTCAGATACAGTGGTTGTTGCTCCTCTATTTGATTGCCAGATGTCACTGGGGAACAAGATGGGGAGGTTCCTGGATCTTCGGGGCAACCCAGGCACCAGAGAGGAAGCTCACCATCTACACCTGCAGAAGAACAAGAGTCCTCAGTGCCTGCTTCAGATGAAGATTCACCAGCCAGAACTACAGAGAGTTGGCCATGGCCACTGTCATCATCTGAAACACCCAGCAATGTTGGGGAAGATTTTGAGGGATTTCCAACACCAGAGCGGACTCCACGGTGTACAATGGACATGCAATCTCCTGGCGATCACTCTCTCAGTAGAACTCAATATGAAAGTGACTCTCTTGAGGAGGGGAATATTGAAATGAATGAAGATCGCCATGGTGTTCAGGCTGTCTCTAGGGATCAGGGTTGGAGAGGGCAAACCCAGCTGACAGAGGGGGAAAAGCTATTGATGGAAACCAACAGTAGGATTGTGCAGCTGCTGGAGAACATAAAGAGAGAGCATGCACAGTCCATGGGTCTCATGTCACAGTCCATGGGCCGGATGGAATTGCAGCTAGGCATTGTGGCAACATCCACAAGAGCCATTCATAACTACCTGTCTGAGATTTTAACTTTCCTCAAACAACCAAGGACTCAGGTCCTTGAAACTCGTATCTCCCAAAGAGCCACCCCTCATGTTGAGTTAACCAGTGCCTCAACGTGGACTGGTGAGGATGCAGTGGCAATGTCCACTGTGTACTTACCACGAGATGAAGGGGTTAATGACTCTCAAGAAACACCACAAGCCACAGTGCCTCGTCGCAGTGGCCGAATGCAGAGAGCCATAACCGAGAGGGCATCTTTGCCCATGCCCATGCGTCAGGCAAAAGGGGGAGGGCAGAAGAAGTAAATGATCACATGAGGGATAGTATTTTTAAAAGGTTTTTTTAAATGTGCCTGTCCTTTTAATTCTTAGCCATACGGCCATGAATGGCAAAACTTGACCATTTTTACATTTGGCTAACGTTATATTCTGGCTGACTAGATTAGTCTAACATTTTGTAGTTTCTATTTGCATTGTTAACAATGTGTGCTGCTGGTATTTGAAGAACATTTGCTTCTGTTCTTTCACTTTAGCTTCATGAGAACATTTTTTTACACTGTGCCAGACATTCATTGCTTTTCTTACAAATACAAATCATTTCTGGACACAGCTGTTTTTTGAGTTTTCTTTTTCCATGATCCCCTTCCTTCTGAACAAGCATACTGAAGTTCTTGGTAAGTATGTGGATATTGACAATCCCCACCTTAGAAACTGTGTTTGACTAGTCTCTTGCCTGGTGTTTCTGGCATGCTGGCCTGAGGTTAACCTGTAAGTGCCTTTTTGGATCATGATCATTCTTATCCTCTGTGGGTCTGACCAGATTAATCTCTAGCCCATAGCCAAGTCTATCTTGGCTTGATTATGCAGTTTACAACATGCCAGAACTCAATTGCAGCATTTGTGACTTATACAAAAATGTGCCAGCAAACTTTTTTAGGCACAGGAATGACATTTTCAGACATTTCTTTACTTGTCAGGGTCTTTTGTGGGTAACATGGTTATCCTCTGAGTTTGAATATTTAATAATAGGGAAAGGAATATGTGCTTATACCCTTTCAACAATGAACAGTATTTGTAGGAGAAACTATATTTGATAAGATCATAGATATTGAATTATACAAGTTAAAAGTTGTCACTCTCGTTACAGCCAGACCTCGTCAGAATGTAAGAGTCATGACATGCTGTTGAGTACTGTGCCACAATGTCTGAAAAATAGCTCAGTATCATAATGGATGTGTTGTAATAAAAATCTCTCTCCTCTCCCTTCAGGCCAGGGAACCCCAGGCAGATGAATAAGTAAGGGCAGAAAAAACGGTTAATATGGTTGGGACTGGGCTGGTTAATATTATGGAACTCCAAATCCTCTCTTATATAGATGAAGAATACAAGATGGTTCTCAAGGTGGTATCCTAGATTATAGTTTAAAGATCCCCTTTTTGGGAGCAAATTGATCATTGAGCGATACCACTGTGTACAGGCCCTGAATAATTGACCTTTTGAACCTCAGTGTTTAAATTGACTTTCTTAGAGTCACCAGAATATATTGTCAAACCCATAAGTAAAACCAAGTTTGTGCATATATCAATGTTCTGTGTGCATATATCAATGGTCCCCTCTCTGCTCCCTTTCGTTTTGAGTCTGAAGGGAAATAAGTCAGGAAGCATTTTGCTGCAGTACAAACCAGCCGTGTGTGTTCCCAAGTGAAAGAAATGCTTGTGGCTGCTTTTTGCTAAATGACTTAGCTAATGATGAAATGCAGCTGGTGTGAGCTAACCTTCTGACTGCAGGCACTTTGCAGGCGCAACTTTTGAGTCAAACCCTTGTCCTGAGAGACCCTAGAGCCAGTAGCTCTCAGATGAAGAGGACACTTCCAAGGGTGTTCTGTCTTGGCCATGTACTCAAATGCATCCTACTTGGCAGGTGTGGCTTTTCACACCTGTATGACTTGCGCCCCATCTGTGCCTGTTTTTATTTATTTTTGTTTGTTTAACATGTTAACAGAAACTTTCGTAAATAAACTCTTTTAAACTGAAGCATGTAAGACTCATTCTCACTGATACAGGAACATACTTTCTTGCAAAAATGGCATTATATCAATAGTGTGATAAAAGGTCCACTTTGACAAATATTTGAAGTTTTAGCTTTTAAAGTCTGACACAGAGACAAAATACACAGGTCTTAATGGGAAATGACATAAAATTTCAGAAATGCCTAGAAGACTATTTCAACAGCTATGCAATATGTTATATATTTTTATTTGCCTTATGTCACTTTAAAAGTGTGGTAAAATCTGAGATTGGAGTCAATTCAAATTATGTTAAAAAAAGTGAAAATTATGCAAATTTTACAATACCAATGAAGTATGATTGCAAATTGTAATTATTTTTCAATTTCTTCAAAGAAATAGCATATTTTTTTATTTGAAAGAATGAACTTTCTAAATTTAACACTTTCTTTTAGGGATTTATTTCATCCCATTGTACAGGTAGTCCTCGATTCACAACAGTTCGTTTACTGATGGTTCAAAGTTCCAACACCACTAAAAAAAGGGTCTTATGACCTTTTTCACACTTATGAACGTTGCAGCATCCCCACAGTCACGTGATCAAAATTCAACTGACTTGGCAACTGACTCATATTTATGATGGTTACAGTGTCCCAGAGTCACATGATCATTTTTGAGACCTTCGGACAAGCAAAGTCAATGGGGGAAGCCAGGTTCACTTAACAGCCATGTCACTAATTTAACCACTGCAATGATTCACTTAAAAACTGTGGCAAGAAAAGTCGTAAAATGAGGCAAAACTCATTTAACAAATGTCTTACTTAGCATCATAAATTTGGGTCTCAATTGTGGTCATAAGTCGAGGACTACCTGTATTACTTTACTATGGTGACTTTTAAAAAAAACAAAGAAGCACACAGTTGCAAGCTATTTAGGACCTAGCAATGCTATCAGAACTGCTGTTGGAGTTTCTACTCAGCCAAAGTATCCAGGCCCTTTTTTTCATACTATCTGGAAGCCAATTTACTTGTCCCATTCCAATTTAAGTTCCAGATATTCTTATCTACAATTGGAAAGGTGCATAATACACCCCTGAATGAGCTAAATTATTGGTCAAGGGAAAATAAATTGAGAAAAGAGGCTGTAAAATCAACGAAAGATAAATGCCAATGATATAATGTGTGGCTGCAATACATGAATGTATTAGAAAAAATTTGCAAACTTTTGTTGTAGTCAAATCTATTCCTTTGGTCAGACTTTCACTCCAGTCTTGCAAAATCAGTAGCATGGTTCTCATAATTTTGCAGTGATTATATCCATGCTTTTTCTAGTGTCCCTCAAAGATTCTTCATTGTTTTCCTGTAGCACTCATTATCTGACTATTATCTGTCTGTTTAGTTCTAAAAACAATGAATTGTTTTGTGGCATTTACAGATAATTTACAGGCTTTAAGTGACAGATAATTTCAATTTTCAAAATAATTCTAACTTGATCTCTAGAGTATTTTATGGATCGCTGATAGGGTTGGAGAGACATAAAATGAAATCTTCCTTCTTGAAGTTCTTGGTGGTGGATATGCCAGCATACCCAAATGTTTAAAATGAAGTCAGTAGATAATATGTTTTACTTCATATCCAAGGGGCTTATCCTAGTTTTAAAAAACACAGTTTGGATTACTGCTAAATTGAATGCAAATATATCTTTTAATCTTGCTTGAAGGAGGTAAACAAGAAGTACAAGATGTAGTTACTGGCATGATATTTGCTAATGGTTCTGTCAATGTTATAATAACATTGACAGAACCATCAATAACTTAAGAGGCTCCTTTTCCAGAGCAGTTATCCAGTGCTAAGATAACTTCATTAAAATATCGTAGATTTGATCCAGTTAGTCCTATGGGCATAAGGACTATAATGCACACACCAAACTTAACTAGCACAAGATCTTCCCTATTCATTTCAGTATTAGGGCATAGTGAAATACCATTGATATTATATGCAAAAATGCTCACAGACTCCAACCATTGGAGGGAAGTAAATAATATTCACATATACAGGCACCGCCATGTGCACATTGCATATTCATAAGATCCTAAACTAGGATGCATTTCTGCACTTAACTAGAAATTGTACATTAAAATCTATTTTGCTTATTCTACTCTAATCCAAATGTTTAGGGAGTGAATTTGTATGCAAACATTGGGAACACTATGATAATGCCGGTACTTTGCATGGGTGAAACAGCCATTAAAAAAATTAAGAGAGCTGTTTTAAGCATCAAGGTGCCATTTTTTCTTTCCCACAAAGTAATTTGTAGTGCAGTTATTCTAATTTTCACTGAAAGAAAGAAGAATGGTCAGGAAAACGTACATTTTAAATTCATTTTGCTAATGAGATAGAAGTAAGAAATTTTATAACCTATAAAGTTTTTTCTAGCTGTTATTGAATTTTTTAAGTGTACATATTTTCTGTGTATATAACTCCTAGGTTAAGAAGAGTTGTGTGTTAATTTTATTACCATTTCCTAGAATTTTTTCAAAATGAATGTCCATAAATGGTGCTTATAATTTAATCTGACTGTGAATGTTAATATAAAAGGTATTGCAAAGAAAAATATTATTAGTATAGGTTGAATCCTAGTCTGTAAAGAGGCTTGGTTTTATTATTACTGTAAAGGAATGGTTTCACACAACTGTAATGCTGTATTTCAACTGCAGTCTAACTCTTGATTTAAGCTTTTTTTCTTGTATCTTTAAAAATAACTCTCACAGCAGTTCCCTTTGTTTTGATATATGTTTATAATTAGGTGTACCTTGACAATACAACAAGATCCAAATTTGCCATATTGCAAAAAAGGTAGATAAAATTTATGCGGTTGAGATCTATTTTGCATTTAAAACTGAAGGCCAAGATTCATGACAATTTTGTCTATTATGGTCTCTCTGTTCTTTTCTCCAGCCCAGATCAGTTTTTCCACCTTTTGTCCATTATGAAGTCATCATACCATGACTGCTGTCATGGTCTCAAATTTATAATTTGATAGCAGTACTCAGCACACACTTTAAAGATTTGTTGTCAGATTCAGTAATTGAATCTGATTCTATGGTTATTCTCGCATGACTGCTCCCTGATGGACAAATGCACAGTTGTATTTCAGGCTGAAATAAAATGGTTCATAAATAGCAGTATGGTTATGAGAATTCATTGTGAGAGACTTAATTGTCAGGCTCATAGGAAAATTCTCATTGAAACTTTCAAAGCCCCCTCATTGAACCTAAATAAAATCATTTTAATATTCAGAATATTAATACTCACTACAGAAGTTCCAAATAGCCTAAACTCAATATTTGATAGTAAAGCAGTAATATATAGGGCACTCAAAATGCCTACTTATGTTTAAAAATTCAGTAACATTCTCACGGCTACTGTGTGGAACAGTTCTCTGCAGCTATACGATTTCTAAAGGTTTTCTTTCCATTTCTATATAGATATTTTCCCTTCACATTTTGAAGGTTTGAAGAAGAGGATTGTTTTTCAAGTCACACTAAGTAAACATTAAATGCATGCAGGCTTAAAACTAAAGCATGCATGTTATGCAGCAGCAATAAAATTGCTCGGCTTGCACGACTTACAATGTTCAAGCACTGCCTTGTTAAAATGCCAAAATCCCCCTTTTCTTTGCATCTTTAAAAAAGTTAAATTATATTTTACATTGCAACATTTAATTTTTTCAGTCTTTAGAGAAGCTAAATTTATTTTAGCATATATTTCTGTGTTACAGATAAAGCTGATGAAATAGTGCCAGTTTCTAAGCCATCAAGAATTCCAGAAAATGCAGTTGTGGACTCCAGAGTAGCAACGATTAAACAGCGACCTTCTAGTAGATGTTTTCCCTCAGCTACCGATATGAATGTGAGTGGTATCTATAATAAATTTCCTTTAAATTACAGGGGCTTTGATTAAGTAAGGATTTTTTTCCAAATTCCTGACAGGAAAAAGTGCTCTGGTTTAATTATTCTGAGGATTCTGTAATGACTACTAAATATGCACTCAGCACCTAAGTTTATCTCTCTTAAATTCACCATATTTTATACAATATTATGATAAAGAATATGCCAACTAAACAGCAGCAATAATTTTAAGGGACATACATATCCTTCCATTATCTTTTTTTAAAAAATATTTCTATATTTTATACTTTCAGTTCAGTGGTATTCATTATTTGAATGAAAGAAACTATACAATAATACATGACTTATTTTGCAATACATTTCTAGTTATGTACACTGCCAAAAAAATTAATTATCCATCTGAACTATGGGTGACTAGTCTTGTTTCCCCCAAAATAAGACCTCCCTGGATAATAAACCCAATTGGGCTTTTGAGTGTTTGTGCTAAAATAAGCCCTCCCCCGAAAATATTACCATGCAGCAGCAGCCAGTGAGCACACTCACCGCTTCAAAAATAATAAGACCTCCCTGAAAATAAGGCCAAGTGCTTGTTTCAAGGGTCAAAAGAAATAAGACCCTGTCTTATTTTTGGGGAAACATGGTAGAAAGTATGAGTTCCATAATGAACTTAGTCTCAGGTTGCAAAGAAATAATTTTAAGGCCAAGAGCTGATGCCAGATTGGCAAACCACTCAGGTTTACAACATCGGCATGTACAAGGGTTTTGTGGTGTTGTTGAGAATTAAATCTAAACTCTTATAATGGATAGCATTCAGTTATGTCCATTTTCCTACCTTAAAATTAAGTACAAGGATTCTGGGCCCATTTATAGGTTCCTACATTTCAATAAATACTAAGTGGGTAGCATTCTATTACTAAATGTGATGTTTAATTTGACTGTTGTGGCAGGATTTGGCTTCTAGAAAGAGCCACAGAAAATTACCTGAATTCTCTTTGCAGCTTTTAGTATAAATATGTAGATTCAAAGTGCATTTAGAGAGGAATAGATTAATAAAGCAAAAGAGCATTTAGATTTGGCATGAGGAAAATAGAAGTTGCTATTTTTGGTAATCCCATCTCATTATCACTTGTCACTATCTTGGATCTCAGTAATAATTAGTATGATAACATCCTTTAGGAATGGCTTTTATAATATAATTATGATGAACTTGAGTTTCCACAGAATTGTTTGGCTTCACTAAGCCTTGGCTATCACAGCAACAGGAACCAAAGAGAATAAAAACATTCCATTAACAGATGGGTGGGAGGTTCACTTTGATTTCTTGAGTAATTTTGAAGTCACTTCTGGTAGTTCCCTATTTTTGTTTGAATAATTTGCTGGTGTTTAATGTGATTCATATCTCACTCTCCCTTTTCTTTCTCCTCTTATTCTTCTACTATTTCTATTCACTTTGACTTTTTTTTTTCTTATGACACAATACTTGCTATTAGCCACAGTGTTGGTCCTTTCTTTGGCATGTGTGTACAAGGACTTAAGGCCTATTTTTTCTTCCTCTCCAGGGTATTTTTGCACTTTCTTCACATATATTATATCAGATACATTGCCTCTAAGATAAAAAATGAGTTTTGTGTCTGGACAAGAGGACAGCCACAAAACCTTCAGATTAAAACCCCAAAAGTCAACTGTTCTAGGGACACAGGGTAAAACTGCCAGAAACCCATGAAATGTATTTCCATGATTTCTATGTAGCATTGATCAGACAAGGTGCACTTCAAACTAAAAATGTGTGCAGATTCAACAATACTAATATTGGTAGGATAACTGTGGCATAATTGTGCTGTTTGTAATGTTGTTTCCGAAGATATCTGTAGGTATTATCAGCAAAATATTGCTGTATGACAATGATTATATGGCTGATCAAAAAGTATAGAGAGAGTTCAGGAGAACAGTGTCCAATTCTTTCGGCACTTACAGTTCTTCTACTATTCATAACTGTGCCTAAGTAGATCCTGTTTTGCATTACTAAAATATGAGTACCTATGAATTTTAAATTCCCCTGAAAATTTCTCGTTCAAATACAGAAAGTTATTCAGAATCAGCGAGAAGTCTTTCGTTTCTGACATAGTAGAAAACAAAAAAGCATTAACATCCTGTTTCTGAATCTAGTCTAATTAGACTGGAATCCATCCTAATCTTCAAATGATATTAAATTTTGGGGGATGGAAAATGATGTAATCAGTGGAATGAGTTGCCTCCAGAGGTTGCAGGCGCTGCAACGCTGGAAGTTTTTAAGAAGAGAGTGGACAATCATTTGTCTGAAATGGTAAAGGCTTTCCTGCTTGAGCAGGCGGTTGGACTAGAAGACCTCCAAGGTTCCTTCCAACTCTGTTGTTCTGTTATTCTGCTAGCCAAATAGAATAGGAAATGCTTTGCAAAAGGGAGAGAATGATAAACACCTAAGGGGGTAAGATACAAGATTGCATCCTGTACTCTCATAGGGAATGAGTTTCTTCTAGATGTCTTCCTGCTACAAGTGGCAGCAGAGGGCTAAAAACAAGAAACTAAGAGACCATGGCTCAGATTTTTCAAATTGCTTAAAAAGCACCAAGCTCTTATGGCAATTAATGACTCACACATTTCAGTACTCCGATAACCTCATGTACACAGATGGCAAGACAACTTACCAGGTTAACATACAGCAGGGCTAAACATCTATAAAGATCTTCCTGTGTTCTATCCTAGTTTCTGCATTTTTTTAGAAGGCAAAGCATTCAAGGTTCTCATTAAGTTGACAGTAGAGCAATTACTTTTTCCTTCCCCACTCCCCTGCAAAATGGGAATTACTAGATAAAACCATTCATAACACAGGTCTGCAAAAAAAAAATTTCAAGGGCTGTTTTGGTTATTCCAGGTAATCTTCATGTTTTTTGGTGCACTGAAAATGACCTCTATTTTGTCATAGGACATCACGTTTCCTGACAATTTAACTATGTAAAATAAGGCAATACCTCAAAGTAAATGGAAATAGACTTATAAAATTAAAGTTTTATTACAATATTTTCATGAAAATCCTTTTTTGAACTGAAATGAGCTCACCTATACACACTAAACTCGATTCTTCTTCCTTGTGAGGCTTCTCTTGCTGCATTTATGCTTGTAAGTAGCATCTGGAATGTCTCTCTGAAGCATCCAACAGTAGTCTGCCATCATTGTAATGCTCCATTTTCCCTGGTATCTCTTTTCCATCTCTTTAATGTCTTGATGGAATCAAGGACATTTTTTTCACCGACTGTTAGCACCCTCGGCTGCCAACTCTTCTTGGTCCAGTGATTTTGTCGGTCTCGACTGTCCCATAGACACAGAAAACAAGGATATTTGGTATACCCAGCTTGTTGCCCGAGCAGCATGCACAAGACCTTCAAGTCCCCACACACTTGCCAACCATGGTCTTCATATTTAAGTTTACGAAGAACCAATTCCAAGTTCTCGTAGGTTTTCTTCAAGAGTACGGAATGACCTATAGGTATGGAAGCGTAAAAACCGTTGTGGAGTAAAACTGCTTTGAGACTTCTTTTTGAAGAATCTATAAAAAGACGCCATTGATCTGAATCATATTGGATTTTAAATTGACCCATCAGACCTTCGACATCGATGCAATAAACCAACTTGTCTTCCTGGGCGAAGTAAGGAACAAACTCCTTTTCACGATGTCTGAACCATGAAGATGACACTCCTGACAACAATAAATTCCTGCTTTTCAGCCTTGATGTGATAACTCAGTGGCATCTTTGGGAAGATTCAAATCTCTTACCAAATCATTCATCTCCTCCTGGGAAACAATTTTGGTCTTGTATCATCTTCAAAGTCAGAACTTGATTCGTCATCTGGTTCAGGTATGACTTCACCTTCATTGGAGTTAGGTATCTCTTCCAAGGTAGCAGGGGACTTCTGTGCCATGGGGGATGGGATGACTTGCTAAGTGAAGATTGGGATATGAAATGGAATGCTTCCATTTGGAATTAAACCCTTTCACATCTCATGAACAAGTTATCACTATGGTTCTTTTGCTCTTGCCATACCATAGGAATCCGATAACGGAAAGATTTTTTCTTACCTTTGAACCAGTTTCGGAGGTCCTCAACACACCGTTTGCACACTTTATGAGGCGCCCAAACTTTATCTTGATCTCCAATTTTTAGGCCAAAGTATGCAAAGTATACTTTTTTTTCACAAAGTCTGTAATATTCTGCTGTTGCTTCAACACTGTATATTCGCCACAGATGAAACAGAAACTGTCTGGCGAATTAATACACTTCCACGGAGCCATAACGTAATGGTTGAAGAATGACGAGCTAACATGAATTGCGATGAAAAAGTGTGAACAGCCTAGAACCAAGAACCTGATGATGATTCATGCACAAATGTGGCATGCAGGAGAGAACAGCTCTGAGTCTGTACGCGAGATGTCACATTGGTGGCCACGCCCCTTGCACTGACCGGAGATGTTGCTATCTGCCCTGTGTCTCCCTCCCACTGGATTCTTCAGGAAAGATTAACCCCTTCTACCATTAGAAGCACAGACTTAAAACTTGCTTAGCTTATGTATATGTTGCTGACCATCAGATTTACAGTGCTATATTTTTTTTACATAACTCGGACAAACCCTTTAAGGTTTTTTTGGCATTTTATATCTTAAATGCACTTATGTGAATTAATTAATAGTAATTTGGACTTTAAATTTGGTTAAAAACCCATACTATAAAAAAATACCAAAAATTAAAAAAAAGTTAAATTTGAAGATAACTTTGCATGTTGTGGCAAATCATGATATCTAGGAGTTTTTTCAATATTTTATTTATTTTCAGCACACCAAATTGCATGGAAATTAGATGAAAATAATCAAACAGCTTTTTAGTCGCAGACCTGTGAATTCAAGTAGCTTTTCCTTGTTCAGACATCTAAAGATTATTACCTCTTTGCACAGTGTGTTTCACTATGAAAGAAGAATCGGAGGGAATTTGTTCCTCACTTTTTTTCTGAATTAAAAAAAAATTGATTTGGCTCTTCATACACGGATTGAAAGAAATTATTGTTTATTTTTCCTTCTATGCACCATGAAGGTTTATACAAGGGTAGAACATTCCAGAAGGATGAAATTTTTGGAGCCTAAGTAGCAAGGCTTTGCATGATCAGCTTTTCCTCACTGACACTTTGTCCGTGACCTCATTCAGCAACTAAAGAATAGCATGAGGACAATCTAGCCATTGGGGAAAATTCAACTACTCACTCACGTAATAGGTCAGCAGGATGGGGAGATGATGGACTCAACAAAGCAAAACACAGAAGAAATATAGATGGTTTTGTGTAAAATAAATGCTAAATGTCAAAGCACAACTCTAAATATTGTATTTTAAACTTTTTAACATTTTTTTCTAGTCTATGTATGAAAGACAAGGGATTGCTGTGATGCCACCAACAGTACCCGGAAGTCCTCAAGGCCCATTTCTGGGTGTGCCACGAGGTACAGTAAGAAGACAAAAATCAATAGGTAAGATATTATATGCACATCAGTTACATGAGAATATCAATTTATTATTATGTTTGTCTTTAACCCTGACTGATTATTAGCTGGAACTAATATTTTTTTAAAATATCATAATGGATTGTGATGATTAGAACTTTAGTTAATACAATGAAAGAACTAGTTTTTGGTGTTTTGCTGAAAAATGTTATGCAATCCTATGCAACTTCTTTTTCTGATTAATAGTTAACTTCTAAGTTTCCAGCATGAAATTAAGAATCTCATTCATCATTTAGCAGCCTTAATGCATCGGTCCTTATAATATTTGGATAAACATTTCACAGTTCCTCTAAATTATGCTTTTTGTCATGCATTATGAATTATTTTGTTTTCTTTCATGCAGAGCAACCTGTTCCTTAATGGCTGCAGTACATAAATACATGTTTTTTTAAGTGCTTCATTTTCTTTTTAATTTTGCATGATCTCTTTTTATGCATGCTTTAGAAAAAGAACAACTGTCTGCAGGAATTTACAAGGTTCAGTACACAAAAGATAAATTAAAAGTCCCTGTATCAAGTTCTAGTACAGGGAAATACTACAATAGACATATTATAAAAGTATATGATGAACAGTATAAATAATATTACATTTATTTTATATATGATTATGTTGGATTGAAAAGAAATGACAATTTAAATATTATGTCTTTTTTTAAAGGGGTAACAGAAGAAGAGCGGCAATTTTTGGCTCCTCCCATGCTCAAATTTACTAGAAGTCTATCAATGCCAGATACTTCAGAAGATATTCCCCCTCCACCACAGTCTTTACCTCCATCACCACCACCTCCTTCTCCTTCTCTTTACAACTCTCCCAAATCTCCAGTATCTAGAATGTATGGCACAATTAAGCCTGCTTTTAATCAGAATCCAGGTTCAAAGATAGCTATTTCAGGTAGATCTGAAAACATGGGGACTGTGATCAGAGGCAAAGGCTTATATTACCGGAGAGAAATGGACCGTTATTCTCTAGATTCTGAGGACTTATACAGCAGAAATGCCGCAACTCAGGCCAACTTCAGAAACAAGAGAGGTCAAATGCCAGAGAATCCTTACTCAGAAGTTGGAAAAATAGCCAGCAAAGCGATGTATATTCCAGCCAAACCAGCCCGACGGAAGGGAATGCTAGTGAAACAGTCTAATGTTGAGGACAGCCCAGAAAAAACTTGCTCCATTCCTATTCCAACCATTATTGTGAAAGAGCCATCTACCAGCAGCAGTGGGAAAAGCAGTCAAGGAAGCAGCATGGAAATCGACCCCCAGGCTTCAGAGCAACCAGGACAGCTGCGACCCGAAGACAACTTGACGGTCAGTAGCCCCTTTGCAGCTGCCATTGCTGGAGCAGTGAGGGATCGGGAGAAAAGATTAGAAGCCAGGCGCAATTCTCCAGCTTTCCTTTCCACCGATTTGGGAGATGAGGATGTTGGATTAACCCCTCCAACTCCACGTATGAGACAGTCTAAGTTTAGCGATGAGGGGCTCTTTGGCAACGAAGAGGGCTTCCGGCAGCTTGTGTCGCCATCTCCTATCCCAGCACCTAGAGAGACTGAAAATATTTTCAATGGCAGCGAATCAAATAACCAAAACGACACAAGGACACCAAACTCTTCAGTCCAAACCACAACGAGTTCTGAAAACAGTGCATTGACAACCTCAAATGCTGGTTTAGATAATTATGTTCATCCCCTGACAGGGAAAATACTGGACCCCAATTCCCCTTTAGCCCTTGCCCTCTGTGCCAGGGACAGAGCCATGAAAGAGCAAAGCCAGCCGATTCCAGGGAAAGGAGACTCCAGCAAAGCAGATCTTAACAAACCTCTTTACATCGATACAAAGATGAAGCCCAACACTGAAGCTCCATTCCCAGCAACAGCTACCATTGCTAGGCAAAATACACGTGGCCTGCTAAGGCGCCAGGAGACGGAGAATAAATATGAGACGGATGCAGCAAAAGAAAGAAGGTCTGAGGAGAAAAAGAACATGCTAATCAATATTGTGGATACCTCGCAACAAAAGTCAGCCGGTCTGCTCATGGTTCATACGGTGGACATAGCACAAGCCAGCGATAACCCTGAAAAAGAAGAGAAAAGTGCCGAGGTGGAGGTGAACGTTGAAAAGCCTCCGTCAGAGATGCAGGAAGAGACAGAAGCAGAAGAAAGTGGATTGGATGACCCCGGCCTGCTTCCGCCACCATCCCCGGCCTGCAAAACAATTGTAGCTGTTAGCTCCATCGATGATCCAATCATTTTGCCATTCCGTATTCCTCCTCCCCCTTTAGCTTCAGTTGATCTTGATGAAGACTTTATCTTTACTGAGCCATTACCCCCTCCTTTAGAGTTTGCTAACAGTTTTGATATTCCTGATGACAACTCAGTCCCAGCCTCTATCTCGGCCTTAACAGACTTGGTCAAACAGAGAAAAAACGGAACTCCACTTGCTTCATTTAACCCTCTCCAGCCCTCAGATTCATTAGACGGTAAGAAATCGGGGGGTCTTTCAAACTGTTTGCCTCCCTCATTTTTGCCACCCCCTGAAAACTTTGATAATGTCCCTGACTCTGGGATTGAAGAGGTGGACAGTCGAAGTAGTAGTGACCATCAACTAGAGACAACCAGCACTATCTCAACTGTGTCCAGCATCTCTACCTTGTCCTCTGAAGGTGGTGAGAACTTGGATACTTGTACAGTCTATGCAGATGGGCAAACATTTCTGGTGGACAAACCCCCAGTACCTCCTAAGCCAAAAATGAAGCCCATAATCCACAAAAGCAATGCACTTTATAAAGACACGCTTATTGAAGAAACTGTGGATAGTTTTGTTATTCCTCCTCCAGCCCCGCCTCCTCCTCCAATCAGCGCACAGCCCAGTATGGCTACAGTTGTACAGCAAAGGACCTCTAAGCTCTGGGGTGATGTCACAGAAATTAAAAGCCCAGCTCTCTCAGGCCCAAAGGCAAATGTTATTAGTGAACTGAACTCAATACTGCAGCAAATGAACAGAGAAAAATCCTCAAAGCCAGGAGAAGGATTGGAGTCCCCTCCAGGGACAAAAGTTGCCAGTCTTAGTACAAGGTAAATGCAACTCCCAAGTTTTTAAAACATTTCTATTGCTTGCCAGTTTGAACTTATCTTGCTTTTGCTGCACACTGAGATGTAATTGTACTAGATTATATGTAAATATAATAATTCCAATATGCTCTCTTTTTCCATTCATATCTATTGAAACATTAAATGCATAAGCTAGCCTTTCCCTTATGAACATAGATACGGTGCATTCAGAAAGTATTCAAACCCCCTTTGCTTCAACTTTGTTATGCTACAGCCTGATTCTACAGTTCTTGAAATTCATTTTTTTCCTCATTTATCTCCACTCAGTACCTCATAATGACAAAGTGAAAATGTAATTTTAGAAATGTCTGTAAACATTAAAAAGAAAAGAACTGAAATATCACATTGGCTTCAAACCCTTCAGTACTTTGTTAAAGCACCTTTGGCAGCAATTAGAGCAGAGGTGTCAAACTGCCGGACCACAGGTCAGATGTGTCACGTGCAGGCCACAGCCACCCCAGCTCTGTGAAAGGGGGGAAAAAGTCGTAATACGTCACATGACAGCAACGTGATGCTGTGAGTTTGACACCTGTGAATTAGAGCCTCAAGTTTTTTGAGATATGACATGACAAGCTTTGACCTCATGGCTTTTGCTCTGCTACTGTATGCATTGTCAGCTGTGAGGCCTTCTATAGGAAGGTGTGTGCCCTTTCAAATCATGTCCAATCAATTTAATTTACCACAGGTTGACTCCAATCAAGGTGTAGAAACATAGCAGCAATGATCAAGAGAAATGGGAGGCACCTGAGCTAAATTTCAAGTGTTGTTGCAAAAGGTCTGAATATTTATGCCAATGTGATATTTCAGTTTTTTTTCTTTTTCATAAATTTTCAAGTTCACATTCATGTGTTTAAGCCACATTGGGAAATATTGTATAAAGATAATAATTTCTTAGTTGCTAGTATATTAAGTATAATGTTAAAAAAATCAAAATATTGGTGATTTATTAAAACATAATCATTGTTTACTTTATCCCGAACATCCTTGATAATGATAATAACATCTTTTGCTGTTTCAATCAAGAAGCCAATAATTTACTACATCCTTCTCATTCTGAATTCTCTGCTTTATACAGTTTGGTATATATTCAATACTAACTATAGAAAGGGATTTGAGTTCCTGTTTAACTGACATAAATCCTTGTATAATTATTGTGTAGGTTGTTTTATATGTACTGAAAAGTGCCTTAGTGTTTCTGTTCATCTGTTTTATAAAAATGGTTATTTTAATAATGATGTATCTAAATGTCATCTTGAATAATTACAATTGCTTTTCTTAAATTAATTGACAACATTTCTACCACATGAACAATTATTGCAGTAGAGCTAATACAGCTTTTATCTATCCCTTCAACTAAATATTTATATATAAAAAATAATCAAGTCAGGAAGAAATATGGCATGAAGTTGGTGGGGAGGTATATGTTTGCTGCAAAGAATTTGAGTCACATATATCTACCAAACTAAACTGTAATATATAAGCTTGTAATGCTTTTAATGTACAAAAGTTATATCTATCTGGAACAAGCTAATGAAATATCTAAAACCTGATAAAATCTTCAGACACAGCTATCTGATTCACAGACAAATTAAAAGTTATTCAAAACACATGACTAGGATGACAGTCTACTTTTAGGGACAAATTTGCACCCTGGTGGAGTATAGCTATCCAGTGCTGATGCTGGACAGTCACTAAAACTTTGGTGGCAAGGACAGTTCTTTAACACTTACCTGATTAATGGCTTACCTGGTAGCATAGTCTTATCCCAAGATAAAACAGTGTTAGTGTTTGCTGCCTGTGCTGAAACATTTTGAAATATACTTTCTTAAACATATTTTTATATTGCTTGCATTCTAGTAACTCTTTCCACCTTGGCAGCCACATATCTAACAAATAATTAACTAAATAGTGAATAATCTTACGATTAGAAGTTTGCCTAGTCTTCTACTATCTTCACTGCATTCTTTGACCAGTGATAGGACACTATTTTGACTATCTTGCCTCAGTTATATTTGACATCAACCATTAACTGAGCAAGCTGTTAAGATGGCGTAGGGCTCACTTTGTGGAATGCATATCACTAGGGTTGAACCAAGCCCTCTCTTCTTTACAGTTTAGAAAGGAACTCAAATTCATATTTTTCCTTTTAATATTTCTGTTTTAGTGTTTCTATTTCATTTCTGTTACATTTTAATGTTCTTTTTATATGCCTTTGCTGAAAGCAACCCAATGCCATCGATAATTTTTGACATATAGTTTTCTATGTAAATAATAGGAACCTGTGATGAAAATGGGTTTTAAGAAATATTGAGTGAGGTATACATGCTGTATATATAGCACTGGAGAAATGAAAGCAATTTGAATCAAAGGAATAGGAGGAATGTACGGAATAGCAGAAAGGAAATTAACTGTTTAAGGATGACAAAAGAGCAGAGAGATCGTTGACAAGAGAACTGAAAGCCATGCAGTTAATGGGAATAGAGCTCTTCCAAAACTGGTACATGACAGATTTATTGAGATTACAGGTTCTCAATTCCTAGCTAGTGTGTCCACTAGAAAGGTAATTTGCATGAAGAGATAAATAGCAGAAGATAGCAGTTAATACATGGCATGTTTAATATTCTCTTCTGAATAAAATCTCTGAAAGACCATGAGTATCAGTTGCTACCGGTATTCTTAACTACTCACACTCACCTGTGTGTGAGTTGGGTGGCCATATAAACTTGTTAAATAAATAAAGCCCATTTTATAAGTAAAATTTCCCTTGACATTTAAAACTTAAAAGGCAAGTAGCTAGGAATATTTAATATTACGAGTCTGGTGGCACAGTGGTTAGTATGCAGTACTGCAGGTTAATTCTGCTGACTGCTGGGTGCTAACAGTTCGGCAGTTCAATCCTCACCAACTCAAGGTTGACTCAGCCTTCCATCTTTCTGAAGTCAGTAAAATGAATACCCAAATTTGGGGGGGGGGGGCTATAGGCTGACTCTGTAAACCTCTTGGAGAGGGCTGTAAAGTACTGTGAAGCAGTATATAAATCTAAGCAACAAGTGATAAGTACCCAGAGTTGACCATGTCAGGCAGATCTTCTGCTCACTTTCCTGCTAATTAAAGATGTTGGCTAGAACTACCTGAGAACAGTTCTCAGTTTTTTCTAGGTGTAGAATGTGGGTGGCTATGGGTGGCAAGTGTTTAATTCTCCCACGAGGCTTTTGGGGTATGAGATAGTGTAACTACACTAAGAGCAATGTGAAGAATTAGAAAGCAGATCTAGCCATAGATTTTGGGGCAATTGGTATCCCAGCTTATAGCACCAAGGAGAAGTCACAGTGCTGAAGTCAAAAAGTTCACTGGAATTATCTATTAAAAACCAAAACCTGATGCTATAACTATTATTATTGATGTAATAATCATAACCGATATTGTATCGGTGTAGTGAATGCTAATCTACCTTAGTGCAGATGCAGATTGTGCAACTATATTAAATTGAACTGAATTGAATTGAAATTTATTTCGACAAGTGTGATTCAACACACAAGGAATTTGTCTCCAGTACATATTGTTAATATAAATAAAATTTAGAATAAGTTTGCATTTTATAGATAGAACTCATTTCTAGATAATCTCATAGACTGTTAGTGGGCATCACTGTGATTCACTGGAATTTATTTTGAATTTGTTGCAAAGGACTGCAGCTGTAGTCTTCTCAGAAGGTAATTCCATTGGTAATTAAATCTCTTGCCTGGAAAAAGAAAGAAAAGACCTCAATTTAAGTGACATTGATTGCACTTAGTATGCCATCTGCTGTCTGATAATCCTGTTCTTGCTGTTTTTCTCTTCCTTAATCATTTCATTTCCAATAGCTTGATTTAGTGAATAAAGTTCACAGGTTTTCACATCTTTCATTGCACTTAATGGAAGTTTCATGTGAGAATTTAGATGGAATTTGCTTTTAAATTGATAATGATCTGGGAAAGAATTATTGGTATTTTGACATAGCTTTATAGTCTTCTTACAGCTTCTGGCATGAATGATTCTGACAGGTGTTTCATAAAGCAACATTTCACATCCAATGTTTAAAGCAGCAAGGGTGGCATTCCTTCATGGCTTGGTGTTGCTAGATCAGAGAAAACTTGGAAAGACTTCCAAGCAGCATCACTGAACATTTGAGAGGAACAGTCTCCTTGATGTACAAACTGTCTACATGCCCATGGAATTATTTGCCTGATCCTTGTGGCTGGGTTTATTTGCTACTGTAGTAATAGCAATAGCACTTAGACGTATGTACTGCTTCTTAGTGCTTTACAGCCCTCTCGAAGTAATTTACAGAGTTAGCATATTTCCCCCGAACAATCTGGGTCCTCATTTTACCAACCTCGGAAAGATGGACAGGTGAGTCAACCTTGAGCCTGGTGAGATTCGAACTGCCAAATTGCAGGCAGCCAGCAGTCAGCAGAAGTAGCCTGCAGTACTGGATTCTAACCACTGCACCACTAGGGCTCTTAAAAGACTTTCTTAGAAGAGAGTCCAGCAAACCTTAAAAAAAACTGTATCACATAGTGGAAAAAACAAACTAGAACTCAGGAGAAATTTCCTGACAGAACAATTAATCAGTGGAACAACTTGCCTCCAGATGTTATGAATGATCCAACACTGGAAGTTTTTAAGTAGAGATTGAATAACCATTTGTCTGAAATGGTATAGGGTTTCCTGCCTGAGCAGAGGGTTGAACTAGAAGACCTCCAAGGTCCCTTTCAATTCTGTTACTTTCTTCTAGACTATTCTAATGTATGTCTTTGGCTGATACTGAAGATGGCTTCTGGTTTACATCCTTCCCTATTTACAAATCTGCTTTTTGCACTTGAGAAAAATAACAGTAAAATCTGTCAGAATCTATGTTAATGAATCCATTTAATTAATATGAAATATTATTGCAGCTGACAAAAATGTCTCATCTCAGAGGAACAAATTATAGCAAATGACTATAACTACTCAGATGCTGCTTCTGTGTTGCAGTTGAGATTCTATTTACTCAGCATTTCACTCTAATGATTATAAGGCTCATAAGCTACTCAGAAATCTCTATGGCAGTATTGGCAAACCTTTTTGGCACCGAGTGCCAAAACGGGAGTGCGTGTACATGTGCCAAGAAACTGAGCTTCCAGTTTCTGGTGCGCTGGTCTTCACATGTGCATGCGTGTCAGAAACCAGAAGACCAGGTGACCGACACACATGTGCACACCGGAAACTGGAAGTTCAGCTTCCCGGTGCACGCATGCATGTTTGGGAACTGTTCTTCCGGTTTCCAGCGCTCCCGCATGTGCAGAGACTTGCTGGCTGGCGTGCATGTGCATGCCGGAAACCAGAAGAGCAACAGGAGATGGCTGGCGTTCCTAGAGAGATGGTTCTGTGTGCCACTTCTGGCACACCTGCCATAGGTTCGCCATCACGGCTCTATGGTTTAAAATTTTTAGTTATCTGAGTAGGTAGCAGAATAAGAAAGTTAGAAGGGATATTGGATGATTTCTAGTCCAACTTCCTGCTCAAGTAGGAGACCCTGTACCATTCCAGACAAGTGACTGTCCAGTCTCTTCTTAAAAGCCTCCAGTGATGGAGCACCCACAATTACTGAAGGCAAGCTGTTCCAATTGTTAATTATCCTCACTGTTAGGAAATTTCTCCTACATTCTAGGTTGCTTCTCTCCTTGATTATTTTCCATCCATTGTTTCTTGTCTTGCCATCTAATGCTTTGGATCATAGGTTGACATCCTCTTCTTTATTGGAATACCTCTATCATATCATCACTAGTCCTTCTTTTCATTAGACTAGACATCCCAATTCCTTTAACCGTTCTTTGTATGTTTCAGCCTCTAGCCCCTCTAATCATCGGTGTTGCTTTTTTCTGCATTCTTTCCAAAGTCTAAACATGTTTTTAATAATGTGGTAACCAAAACTGGATGCAGCATTCTAAGTATGGTCTTACTAAGGCTTTATAAAGTAGTAATAACACTTCATGTGACCTTGATTCTATCCTTTTGTTAATGCAACGTAGGATTACATTGGCTTTTTTGGCTGCTGTTGCACACTGCTAACTCATATTTAAATGATTGTCTACTAGGATTCCTAAATTCCTCTCACAGTTATTGGTTGTATTAATTCCATGACCATATAATATTTATTTTGTATTGTTTTAAGTGCTTTTAATTTATTTTTATGTTTCATGATGTACACCGCCCAAAGTCATGTTGAGATGGGTGGCTGTGACTGTAGAAATCAAATAAATAAATACAGTTTTTCATCTTTATTAAACATTTGACCAAAGATTCAGATTCACTTATAGCAAATGGTGATCACATGATCACAATCTACTATGATGGTTGCAAACACTGTCAGTTGCAAAGTGCCCAAAATTTGATCATGTGATCACAGGGATTCTGTGATAGTGATAAGTGCAAGAACCAGTCATCAAGTTATTTTTTCAGCACCGTTGTAACTTTGGGTAGTCCTTAAACAAGGTGAGGACTATTTATATTTTATTAAAAAAAATAATTTATATAAATTTAAAATTTTATAAAATATAAATATTTATTAAAAATATTTATATGTTCTTGCTATAGTTTTGTTTATAATAATTTGTAATTATTTTATCTCTTTTCCTTGCTGCATCATTGGGTTTATTTATATTTACAGAATACAAGCAATACATCACTACAAGCCATCTTTTACATTTATTTATAAATGCAGCCAGTTGGGCATCACATCTCCTTACTTGCTCCCTAGTCAGTGTTGGATCACTTGCTAAGCTTATTTTCATGCAAGCTTTACTTCCATTGTCTCCTGGTCTCATTGTATTCATCCGTGTTCATTTCCAACTATTTCATGGTTCAAACCTATTCACATATCATACTCAGGAAATATGCAATACATGTTCTCAATGATTGTTGAATTAAATATGCAGCCCAACATAAATCTCCTTTGAACTTCCCAGATTTTTCTCATTTTTGCCTCTGGTGTCCTTTTAGTGAGAATTTTGCCAAGCACCTTCCTAGAGACAGCTAACCACTTAATCCCACTGTTGTTTTTGCATTCAATCTTGTTATCTTTCCCTTTAAATGGAGAGCAGAACTACATTTTGTTAAATTTTAGTAACAGCATTCTGTTAAATATTAAACAAGATGCTAGTTCTTCCACAAGAAAACGATATATTTTTAGGTCCCTTTGGTTATGCCAATTATATCCTACCATTTCCCAGTATTCTTATAATATTTATGTGTTCCTTTTAATTGGTGTTTTTCTTGGATGTTAACATTTCTAGGAATATTTGAATTACTGTTCAAAGTATGTAGCATTCCCATGTACATTTTAAAAATAGTCTTTAGGAAATTCCTTCACTTCAGTGTCATCTCAAATTATATCACTTTTTTTAAAAAAAAGTTTCCATTTGCCCTGTTAGAGGCTTTTGATTTAGACCTCTTCTCAACCTCTTTCAAAGCAATTTTTAAATTTCCTTCAAATCACCTATGGTGTATGTTTTACTAACTTAAGATTTCAAACTCAACTGTTTTCTCTGCTTCATATCCAGAATGTTCAACTGATATTAAATATTAGAATTTTCTTTCTAAAAACATGCCAATGCTTTTCTGCAATATTTCAAGCTATATATAAATTTACTGCTATTCTGTCTGTTTTACAAAACTTGTGGCATATCTTTTATAATTACTTAATTTGTATCTTACTGTTATCTCTTATATATATTGCAAGTTCCTTCCTACAACACATGTGCAGTAAACAAAAATTACATTAGAATAACAAAAGTGACATTTAATTTAGGTGATTGTGTCATATTGTTTGGTTTCTGAAGAACCTCTAAACCAGGGGTGTCAAACTGGTGTCCTGCGGGCCAGATGCGTCGTGCACATGCCACACCCACCCCAGCTCTGCAAATGAGAAAAACATCATGAAACATCATGTGATGGCAACGTGGCGCAGCAAGTGACACCCATGCTCTAAACGCCTGATTCTGTTTGACAAGCATTTAATGGCCAGACAACTGAGGATGTTAATAGTATATTTAAGATAATAGCCTTTAGTTTTTAAAACTTTTAGAAGTTCATGAAATTGATACTGTTGTTTTTATAAAGTTGTATGTACTTATAATGTGAGTATATTACTTTTAATATGAAATAGTATAAGGAGAGTAATGACTTTAAAAAAAGTTTTTCAATCATTTTTATTTCAGGAGCACAGAGGTCATGAGCACAGTCTCAGGTACTCGGAGTTCAACCATCACTTTTACCGTTCGGCCTGGAACTAGCCAGCCCATCACACTTCAGAGCAGAGTCCCAGACTATGATAGCAGGACATCAGGAGCCAGACATGCTCCAAGCCCAGTGGTTTCACCAACAGAGATAAGTAAAGACATCCTGCCTGCTCCTCTGACTGCTGCTGTTCCAGCTGCATCTCCTTCTCCGACTCCTTCTGATGTTTATAGCCTACCCAGCCAGCCTCCTTCCGGAGACCTATTTGCTTTGAATACAGGGCGCAGCAGGTCTCCTTCTCCCTCAATATTGCAACAGCCAATCTCAAATAAGCCTTTTACAACTAAACCTGTCCACCTGTGGACTAAACCAGATGTGGCAGATTGGTTGGAAAGTTTAAACTTAGGTGAACATAAAGAGACCTTTATGGATAATGAAATAGATGGCACTCACTTACCAAACCTTCAGAAGGAAGATTTGATAGACCTTGGAGTGACTAGGGTTGGTCACAGAATGAACATAGAAAGAGCCTTGAAACAACTATTGGACAGATAAGAATGGTTGGTCTTGCCTCACAAACCTTTGTTATAAATAGAGATAGGCTGGTATCAAAACACCCCAAATGCCTTGGCTCCCCAAGAGTAGCACCAAATTAAAAAGCATCCATTAGATTGCAAACCTATGTCCAAAATCAATTCCATGTCAATCCACATTAATGGGACCAAATATTTTAAGAATGGATGGGGAAATAAGAGAGAAGAATGGAAATAATTGTGAACTTAAAAAAAAACCAAATTTGTAAGCTCCAACCATATTGATATTATCTCAAACGTTTATACTTTAATTGCTGGTACACACACAACTACTCCTTTTTCAATCTATGGATTGGTTTTTCTGTTAGAAATGCCCTTCTGCTTTAAAAATAACGTGTCACCTCTTTTTGATTAAAACCCACAGGTATTTCTCCATGTACTAGAACGTGTATTGTCCAGCTCTTTTTACAATCTGCTTTCATATGACTAATATTTCATATGATTGTTGGACTCAGTCCCATTGTTGTGGTCAGACAATTTCTTCTTTCAGTTTTTCTAAACTGATTCTTGGTTAGTTCTGCCATTTAATTTTTCTGCTAACATTCACTTTTTTCATGATGTATTTACTGATTTTTGAAAAACTTCTATACATTCAAAGCATTGCCAGAATGTTTTTAAAAATGTCAGATGTTTTTGGCTAATTATTATGTTGATTTCTTTGGAAGTGAAATTAGTTTTTGTCATCCAGTGTAATTCTGTTATTTGACTTTTAAGATTTTATTTTTCCATTTATGTTTAGTGCCTTTCCAAATTTGCCGGATAGTTATTAGGCATGCTTTTTATTTTTTATTTATAATGCAGTATAATGTGTGAAAGCTATGTAAGAGATCTTAGCTGCCTAAAATAAAAGTAAAAATATTTGTAAGAAATTGGAATTGAAGATATCTGTGCATAGAAAGATGGTAGTTCAATTAAGATCTTTCCCACATTTCTTTGTGATTGACTGGGATAATAGGTAAGTAATTCAGGGTTATATTTTCAAAATACCAATCATTCGTCAAGCCTGTTTTAATTTCTCTCATATAGAATTGAGTTGTTTGGACAATATTGCACAAGACTTTTCTTTGAGATGGAAACAGGTATCAGGATTAGATGTCTTCTCTTTTTACAAGCGCATCAGCAAGTGTGGGGTTTTTTTTTGGGGGGGGAGTGATGTTTGGCTTCCCAAAAAGAGTTAAGTTCTAGTTTTTAAAGAACTGTGTTTTACATAAAGGTTACTTTTGCTGGATCAAAGTGATCACGTGTGATAGTGGATTTTATTACCATTGTGATCCCCCTAGTATCATAGAAAGAATAGTGAATTTTCCTTCTGCAATTTTGTATGTGGATGCACAAATCAATGCACAAGCTGCAGTCAACAGTAACTGCATAGAGGTGGCTTCTTCACCTTCAAGAAGGTCTTTGGATCTTTGACCTGCTTATTCTTTCCTGCTTAAGAAAACCAGCTGTTGATGAATCTGCGTGGCACAAACTTGTTTACTTATGGAAATGGATTTAAATCTTTAGTGCTTTATTGTATTAGGAAAATGTTGCCTGGCATCTATAAGAAATATGAAATGAAAATATCAATAACAGTACATGTTACAGAAGTAGTTTTATGAAAACAGTAGGTACCTATTATATATGCAAGGGACAATTTTTCTAAAAAAATTGAGATCAAGGGTTTTGTCCTAATAATAATGTTTTGCTTAACATTAAACTACAGGATTGTTCTGTGCTTCCTTTCCATACAAACTGCTGTGTTTTAGGAGAACCCACTTAGCTTGCAAATTAAAAACAAGAGAAGGTTGAGAGAAAATCACATTCAGAACTGTTTCCCAAAAAAAATTGAGTGGATTTTTAAAAGCATGGTCTTTTGGCAGACATGTATATTTTCAGATTTGGTGGCTTCTATGAAATTTAGAATACTCTCTTCCCACCATAAATAATCCACATTAACAATGTTGTTGGTTCACAGTGTCATGAATAATTTAGCCTGTACGTTTGAGGTTGCTTAATAATTTAATTGGAAGGCATCTCAGTTCATTTTTTAATATGTCCCAGCCTATCTCTAATTATAATTTTATTTTCTCATAACTGAATGTCTAATTTGGGGCCCGCAACAGCCCTAGGATTAGTACATGAAGTTCAGCAATTTCAATACCTTTCTTTACTGAAAGTTTAAATAGCTGTACAGATAGTTTATAAGCACAATATTTTAAGAATATAAGTGGCTGGTCTACTGGGCAGCCTTTGTGCCACTTCAGTGCTAGAAATTAAAAAAAAACTTTTGTGGTTTACTACTATTTCTGTGGAATAAGTATTAAGTCTTGACCTTTTTAAATCAATATCATTTGGATGCATCTGAACCAGCAGAGCTGTGTTATATTTTCTATCTTTGCTAAAACTTCTCCAGATGATGTGTCTCCTCAAACATGGTAACAATCAACAATACTTGGGTAATTATTAAAAAGAAAAAAATAGTCAGTTCCTCCTTCCTTCCGCTATCAAAACTGGTTGTTTAAGTTATTGTCACTTAGACCCTTTTCAGATTTGTTTCCACATTTGCATACTCCAAATGGATTTGTAATTAAAATCAAGTTTTAGTGCAAAAACTTTGAAATATTGATACAACGTTGTATCTAGAGGACAATATTCGCATATTTGATAGCAACACAATTTTTCTTTTGATGGGGGCAGGGGCAGAGTGTAAAGTAAGATGATTTTGACATCATTGTCTTCCATTTGGTGATAATGCAGAAATCAGTAAATAAACCATAATACCATGCTCCTTTTTATTTCTTTGAGTGCAGTTGGTGTTACCTCTATAATGTGCCAGAAAATGCATTAGGACAAGTGATACAAGAGAAAAAAGGGGGGAAATTACTTTTAAGCTGCTGTTAATCATAATATTTTACTGTTTAATATATAATGTTTGTTAACAAACTATTGGTGATGGTACCCCCTTTCTTAAAAGGGGTCTCTTGCCCATGTATCTTTTCAGGCACTTAAATAGTGAGTACGATATAATTATTAGAGAAGATTTTAAACATCAAAGAGCTAATGAAATGATTTATTTTTTAAATGATGTTGTATGAGCTAGAGTAATAGGGCCTGTAAGGAATTGCTTTATATCAAGAAAAAACACCTTTGGCAAGCTGAAATAGTCTTTAGCTTTGTTTGATGGCTTTATAATAGAAAGCAATAGTAAAGGATGCAGTATTATCTCCTAGCTGGCATTTTGATCAATACTGAAAATGTCAGGAGCAGATTGGCCCTTTTAATGTTATGCTACTTTGATGGTGCAAAATACAGTGATTAAAGATAATCTTGTTATGATATTCCAGGTTTTAGGAACAACTTTTGTTTATATACTGTAATTTAATAAATTGCATTTACATGCTTAGTTTCTGTAATATTTGTGTATACAATACCAAAATCACACAAGATGTAAATTGTGTATAACTGCACAGACTCCTTTCCCTAGGTGTCTAGTTTTGATTCATATATTATAAAATGACTAGATGTGACTGTTGATTTACAGAATTTACATATCACAGAAGCTAGCTCTTTGTGGTACCTAAGTTAATAAAAGTGATTTTTTCTGAGTTCCTTTACAAATAAGCATTATCCAGTTGATCTGGCGATGACTCTGTGTATGAGCCTAAAATAATGATAATTTTCTCATTACATCTTTTTTTCTTTTTTTAGAGAGTAATGTTTTTGCTATGGTTTGTGAAACAACTATGTTCACGTTATCTATGTTGCTGTAATTTTTTGTGCTTTAATTCCTCTAATTTCCAACTGATTAAAACAAATCAAGCTCCTGTAACTTGCACTTTCCCTAATCCTTACTATTCTTGTATGGCAACCAAAATTACTGTAAGAAATAAATATCATATTGCACTAAGGTTGTGATTCTGATTACAAAGAGCAAATCCAGTCTGATTTTTTTTATTTCTAAAAAGAGTTGCCAAACTTTCCACTTAACATTAAACTGTTTAAACTTCCTTTTTTTAAAACCTTGTCTGTGATTTCCATGGAATTTAGAATTAAAGTTCTCTGAAATTGATCCAGAATGAATTCCTATTCCAGAATGAGAAATGCATTATAAAGTGTACGATAGAAAACATTTATATATCTTGGACTGATTTGTTTTCTTGTTTTATCAGAAAAATTTTCAGCAGCAGGATTCTGAACTTCTGAAAGGATTATCGTCATTTCAAGTGACCATTAATATAGTGAACTGGTGAAACATTGATTGAAATAAAAGGTTAAAAGGTGGGGGGGGGGAGACCTGGATCCAGAATTTTTATTTATTTAAAATGTAATTCATTTATAAGCCTAACTAATAATAATGGATACTACCAATGTATCACCACCAAAGATGGCTCCCTCTGATAGTCATATTCTCTAGTTTGAGAAAGAAAGCATTGCCTGAAAGCTATCAAAATTAACCAATTTGATCAGCTGCCTCTCCGCATGCAAGCATAATATATTTCTCCAAGGTTGAATGGGCCTAATCCCTCTGCCCCTTCTTTGCAATTATCTTTTGACAGATGGGCTTACTTATCTGCATGAAAGTGATGTTGTTGTTAAGACTGTACTTGCTGCTAGGATTTTGTAATGAAAGTAAGTTACACATCTGGTTTGTAGGCAATTTAGGTTCTGTTAATACCTAAGCAAGGCTTCAAATTTCTTTCCCACTGTAAAAGCATATTTATTTTTTACAATTATCCAATCTTTTCTCCGGCTCTAAACAGTTTATGTGCTAAATGATCCTGTCAGGAGACCCTTTAGTTGTACCACTTTCCATGAACAGAGGAGCTTTGATTTATTTTGAATTTAACATCCTTTCCAAGTAATTTTCAATACATTTGAATAACTGGAATATCAGACAAGATCTGCATATTTTCTTTCTTGTTAATGTTTAATTTAATTCACTTATCCTTACCACTGAGCGGTATTGTTATCTTTATATAGCTAGAGATATACTTTCACTGGTTTGGTTTTTTTTTTTTTACATATCCACAGCTTCCCTATTCCAAAACCATCAGGACTATGTGTTCTTCAAATTTAATAACTTTCCTGAAATAAACCTGATTTAAACGAATTGTTTCTTCTAGTTCTTCTCTTTCAAGAGGACAAGGCTTACGTCAAGATGGTTCTCAGAAGTGGTGCCTTAAGTTGTATATGGATATAACAGGAAAAACAAACCAAAGTACCCGGTGTAACTCTCTAGTGTTTTGAACTGAACTGTAAGAAATAATGTAACAAAAATGTACTTTTAAATTCAAAGGGCCAATTTAGCATCAGTGCATCATAGTAATAGCACCTTGTTCTTTTTATCAAAGGATTCTATCAGTGAACATCTTTAGAAAAAGGTCCAGATTGTTTCATGTTTGGAAAAAGTTCGATTCAATTCTTTTCAGTATTAAAACAATGATTTGATGAATCATCAAAGCATTTTAAATTCAATAAATTTGTAGGTGTTCACATTAATAAATTATATTTACCACCCTGCAGTGTGCCTAGCCTAATTTATGTACTTTGATAATAGAAATGCAATAGTTTGTCTGTCATATGCCAAGCCAGAGATCATTGTTTTTTAAATTTGGTAATTTTGAAATGAGTAAATTTCAACTCCCAGAATTCCCCAACCAGCATCTTAAAGGTACCAAGTTTGAAAAATGCTGCCTTAATTAATTATACTCACTCTTAATTGCATTAGATGAAGAATGTATTCTGATACAATGTATATAAAGGTACTGTGTTTCCTTAGAAACCTTTTTCTATTTTATTTAGTTATTTTTCTTACTATTTTTTAACATATACTTAATGAGGTTAAGTAATGGTACAACCCTAATGTTAGGGAAGTAGAATGTATGGTAGGACTTAAAAATTACAGGTAGTCCTTGATTTATGACCTTGATTTGCAAATTGAGCCCAATTTCTGTTGTTAAGAGAGTGGCTTGTTAAGTGAGTTTTGCCCCATTTTACGGCCTTTCTTGCCAAAGTTGTTAAGTGAATCACTGCAGTTGTTAATAACACGACTGTTAAGTGAATCTAGCTTCCCCATTGACTTTGCTTGGTAGAAGGTCACAAAAAGTGGTCACATGACCCTGGGACACCATCATAAATATGAACCAGTTGCCAAGCATCTGAATTTTGATCACATGACCATAAGGATGCTGCAAAGGTTGTGTGACAAACAGCCAAGTCAGTTTTTTCAGTGCCATTGTAACTTTGAAAGGTCACACAACAAACTCTTGTAAGTTGAGAACTACCTGCATTGGCAAGTTGAGCATATTATTATAAATCTCCAGCTTAAATCTGGAGTAAAATAGGGAAGAAATGGTAAGTGAGCACCTGTCTACCCTAGAAGAGTCCAAATCACCAGGACCAGATTGATTACACCTCAAGGTTCTGAAGGAACTGGCATATGTGATCTCAGAACCACTGAACTACCATCTTTCAGAGATCCTGGAGTGCCGGGGAACTGCCAGAGGACTGGAAAAGAGCTGATGTGGTTCCCATCTTCAAAAAAGGAAAAAAAATAGATCCAGGAAACTACAGACCCATCACTTTGACCTCAGTACCAGGGAAGATTGTGGAAAAGATAATCAAGTAACAAATCAATGAACACCTAGAAGCAAACAAAGTAATAACCAAAAGCCAACATGGGTTTGTCAAAAACAGATCATGCAAGACTAATCTTATTGCACTCTTTGACAAAGTGACAAAATTAGTGGACCAGAGGAATGCTGTGAATGTAATTTACTTGGACTTCAGTAGGGCATTTACAAAGTAGGCCATAACCTAGTATGTGATAAAATAGAAAAATGTGGGTTAGACAGCATCATCACCAGATGGATTCATAATTGGCTGACCAACCTCAATGAACTGCATCTACATGGAAGGAGGTATGCTGTGAGGTATCCCATGGCTCTGTTTTAGGCCCAGTACTCTTCAACATCTTCATCAATGATGTGGATGAGGGGATAGATGGGAACTCATCAAATCTGCAGACGACACCAAGCTAGCAGGAACAGGCAACGCTCCGGAAGACAGGCTTAAGATATAGAAAAATCTTGACAGACTAGAACATTGGGCACTATCTAACAAAATGAAATTCAATGGTGAAAAATGTAAGGTTCTACATTTAGGCAAGAAAAAATGCACTGGTACAGTATATGTGGTACTTTGCTCAATAGTGGTGACTGTGAGTGGGATCTTGGAATCCTAATGGACAACCACTTAAATATGAGCCAGCAGTGTGCTGCAGCTGCCAAAAAAGCCAACACACTTCTAGGCTGCATAAACAGGGATAGATTCAAGATTACAATAAGTGTTAATACCATTTTATAATGCCTTGGTAAGACCACACTTGGAATACTGCATCCAATTTTGGTTGCTATGATGTAAAAAAAGATGTGGAGAGTCTAGAAAGAGTGCAGAGAAGAGCAACACAGATGATTAAGGGACTTGATAAAACAACGAAATGAAAAGGACTAGGGGTGACATGATAGCAGTGTTCCAATAACTCAGGGGTTGCCACAAAGAAGAGGGAATCAAATTTCTCCAAAGAAGAGGGAATCAAATTTCTCCAAAGCACCTGAGGGTAGAACAAGAAGCAATGGGTGGAAACTAACAAGGAGAGAAGCAACTTAGAACTAAGGAAAAATTTCCTGACGGAACAATTAATCAGTGGAAACTTGCCTCCAGAAGTTGTGAATGCTGCAACACTGGAAGTTTTTAAGATGTAGGATAACTATTTGTCTGAAGTGGTGTAAGGTTTCCTGCCTAGGTAGGAGGTTGGACTAGAAGACCTCCAAGGTCCTTTCCAACTCTGTTATTCTATTCTATTCTAAATTGGTGAATGAATAGATATGTCAAGACAAATATTTTAATTTGTAATTTGCTTATCAAAATAAGCAATAAGCAGGCTTGTGAGATATTAAATAGATGGAAGTTATATGTAAATATCCACATATTTCAGCTTTGCAGGACTTTGGTTCTTTGCTGGAACACTGAAACCTAACAGTGAGATTCTGTTCAGGATGATAAAAAATTCGCAAATAAGAACGCCAAGCCTTACCTTCAACCTAAAACCGCATCCTTGCTTAGCAGGAGGAAAGGAACACATTTTTTGTGGAATTAATGAAGTGAACATTTTTCATGAACCCAAAAGGGTATTGTCAGATGAAGCAAGCCAGCACAATGTATGGTTTAGGGACCAGTGGTATGAATCAGGGTACAAGTCAGCAGAGAAATCTTTTTCAATTGTTTGCACTTTTAAAAAGTTATTCCAATGTACCTGATGCAGAAAACTGCAAACAAGACACGCCCTTGTTTATTTTCAGAATACTGAAATGTTCATGATTGTATTCTATTTGTCCAGATGAACAAGCGATTGTAGCAGAACTCAAACACCAGAGGGAGTTCCTTCAATTATTTTTGAGAATTGTTAGTTTCTTCATCTTAGTTCATAATTTTAAGTGGCATAAGGTAAGTATTTTGGAATTGTATGCTCTTTGGAGTATATCGTGGGGATTAATAGTTTTGTTCTTCCTAGAAGGCCAACACAAAGACAAAATAATCTAATTAGTGTGTCTATGTTTACCTTTAGAAATAAGGACATAATCCAAGAGATTGTGGCTACAATTATCAACCAAGCATTTCCTTAGAATCCTTGGTGAGAAAAAAACTAGCAAGGATCTTCATTTTTTACCATTTACCTTGAAAATTGTCCAAGCCATTCCTTTTTAGTAGCCCAGAAGCAGCACCTTGCTTCAAAGATCACTAGCATTTTACAGTGTATAATTCTGATTTCCAAAGTTTCTGATTCCAACTGGAACTGTGACAGACATAACACAGTTGATTAAATTCCATGCATGAGCCATCGAATCTATATAACAATGATACTTTCAAATTATGGATCAAATCCCTACAATAAGACAGAGAATGCAAGCAACAAAACCAGTTAGGTTTTAGATTGCATATTTTGGATGGCATCTCCCACTGAAAGAAGCTGAAGCATGAAAAGCCCTGTAATTTTATTTTTTATAGTAGGAACACAAAACATTTCTTTGGTTGTAATTCTATCCTATCAACATCTAATTAAAATGGGAAAGAATCATCTCCTATTTTATGATTTTATGTAAATCTTCTCTGCTCCAGGCAGTTGAGAGAAACTTCAGGATGTTCTTATTGATGAACAGAGAAAAGCCCATTTTGTGTGCATTTAGTTATCTAGGATCCAATCTGGGTTGGTCACCGGGGCCAGAGGTTTTGTCTGATGTTTTGGACTTCTGTTGGAGCCCATCTTCAGGCAACTTCTCTCTAGCAGAGCGTGTGCTGTTCTATGTGTGGTATTTATAGTGCATGTTGTGACTTTTTAGATGTTGATTGGGGTGTGTTGATGGCTGGCTAGCTTTTAAATCATTAGCTGTCTTTTGCTTGCGGTGCACAGCCCTCGCCTTCTAAGTACTTGATAGGCTGGTGATAAATCAGCACTTCTGTTGAGGCCAGTTTCCCAGGCTTCAATCACTTCCCTGGCTGTTTTTGTGCCTGCTTGTCCAACAATCTTAGTAGCTGCACAATTAAATGTGTCCTTGTTCATTGCAGTGAGAGGCTACCAGAGTTCAGATGTCCTCCTGACAGCTCACTTGTGTTCTTGCAAGCTGATGGTTATCTTCCTCCCTGTCTGTCCTAGTGTCACAGAGGCAATCCATGCAGGGATTTGAAGTATCTCCCACCTCCAAGTGATCTTTACAATGCATAATTTGTTCTTGTACAGTAGTCTCTGGGCAGTGTGTGATGCCCACTTGCAGATCTTAGAAGCGTTCCACAGCTTCAAAATGTTTTTGATGTATGGCACGGAGTGCCATGTGGCTGGTCTTGTTTAGATATTCATTCGATTTCTATAGCTGCCCATTCTCAAGTCAATGATTCAGGGTGTTATTTCATACTCAACTGGTTTGCTTTCTAATGTATAGACAACTACACTCCTTGATGTAATACAATTGAATCCAATATTTCTGTTGCCCAGCAAGGCAGAGAGTCATGCCCTATTTCACAACTTGTTTGCCATGATTGTTAAATGAAGCACTACAGTTAAAGTGAAATCATGCAATCAAGCAAATCTGGCTTCTCCCATTCACTTTGCTTGTCAAAAGCGCACTAGGAAGGTTGCAAATGACATTCCTAGGATCCTGGAACATTGCAACCATCATAAATACATGCTGCTTGCAAAGCACTCGAAATCTGATCATGTCACTGTGTGGATGCTGCAACTGTCATAAGTGAGAACTGGTTGCAAGTCACTTTTCTGAGTGTTGTTATAACCCGGAACAGTCATTAAATAAGTGATTGTAAGACAAAGACTACCTGCATTCAATGAACAATTTCCCCCCTTTTGCTATCCAAGAAACTCCTATTTTCAGAACACATTAAAACAACTGGCATTTTGAAGAAACCAGTCTTCCAACAAACGTTTCCACCTCTTCTCTCTTTGGGACTGTTCCACAAATTACAAAAGAGGGGCTGGCTTCCACTTTATATTTGTCCCCAATTCGCAGGACTATTGAATCAACTACCATGTTTCGCTGAAAATAAGACAGTGTCTTATTTTCTTTTGACCCCTGAAATAAGCATCTGGGCTTATTTTTGGCGAGGTCTTATTTTTTAGGTGCAGGTGGTGGCGAGTGTGGTCACTTCAAGGCTCCCGCTATGTTGCAATATTTTCAGGGAGGGCTTATTTTAGCGCATGCGCTCAAAAGCCCAATTGGGTTTAGTATCTGGGGTGGTTTTATTTTTGGGGAAACGGTACTGCCGTGGAATAATTGGTGGAAGAAGATGCTCCTTTCGGTGACAGATAATTTAAAAACCAGGGCAAGAATATCCTTGTCATGTTTTTCCCACTGGGACTCTGCTTCAGTAACTGAAGATAAGATGCTGGAAGGCATTTCACCCAGCAGAAGGCAATACGTTAACATTCAGTTTGTGGCTTAGAATAGTTTAGACACAAAAATATCCTGGAGAAATGGTTCCAAAAGTTTATTTGAATATTTAATTTACAAAAAGAAAAAGAAAAACAGGAATCATATATCCTAGTTGCTGTTCTATGCAAACTGAATAAGCTAAAACTGCATAAAAAATCCATGCCCACTTAACATACTATTATCAATGTAATTATGAGAAAGCAAGGAACCGGTGGGGAAGATAATAGAAAATAAACATTACATACATTCTTCTTAAGAGATTGTCCAAGTAGCCAATCCCATGCAAGATCACTTCTCTCTACATTCCATATTTCTTTAGATACACTGCATGTTGCCATTCAATAGAAATATTTTTATATACATCTTATTGAACTTAATTGCTAATATTTTTTTCATTCACTTCTTTCCTTGACCAATTTATCCCTGAATTTCTCTTCCCAAACAGAAATGAACAAGAAACACTGAAGACACATATACTGTATGCTGTCTTTGGTAGGGGTGCTTATGTGGTTAAAATCAGTAATTAATTCTCAATTTACTTTACAGAAGTTACAGCAAAAATTCAGCATTACATTTGGCAAAAGACAGATCTTTACAGTTTGCTTGAGTGTTACTGGCAGTCAAGAGCTGAATATCTAAAATGAGTCGTCGACATTGTTTAAAAATAGCAATTTCCTCCAAAGCTTTAATGTACTCATAAGAGCAATATTCCTTTAGTGAAATATAGCCCCCCAAAAATCAGATTCACTATAGAGGAAGTCATCTCATCCCATTGTCCTCTTTGCAAATCATACAAACTGAAATTAGTGCTGCATATCCCGCCTGTTTTATCATCGAGGTGACAGGCTGAAAGAGCTAGAGAGGGCATGTAATGGAAACATTTAAATCTCCAAGACCAAAAATTTCACAGTGTTCTAGGTGCATGAGAGAAAGAGCAGCATAAACAAAACTTAACATCACAAAGCCAGGTGAGGCTTGCATCAGTTCCTTATCAGAACTTCTGAAAAAGTTCAACTAAAGTTGCGTAACAGAGCTTTTGACTGGACTGTGCACTTCCCAAGAATATGAATGAAAAATAAGCCTAGCCTTCTATACTGGGTCCTTTCTGAGATTAAATAGAGAATAACTTCCCATGAATGTTTTGCCTCTAACTGCAAGCCAGCTAGCATTTTCCTCTATCCATACCTGCCATGTTCCCAGTAAGTCGAAATGTGACCTAGATATGACAGATGGGAGCTGGAAAACTGACCATGTTCAGTACGAGAACACATGAATATAATTTGTAACATGTATTACTGTCAGAGAGAACTAAAAACTCTAGAGGGGGGGAAAAATCACCATCACCAATTTGACAAAGGAATCAAGGAAACCTCTTTTTCAAAATGCATTAAAAAGTATGATAGGCTGCAGGGCAACATAGAGTCACAATATATTAGCAATTTCTGGACCCATAAAACATTTATAAAAGCATCAGCAAAGTATTTTAAATATAAAAGGAGTATGAATAGATCCTTTCACTCTCTTCTCTTGCACCCCCCCCCCACAAAAAAAGCCCCACATGATTTGTAGTGTAATAAGTCAGATGAATGATCATGGTATTAAGGCATAAATGGTAAACATCCGTTTCTATTGTCTCAGCTCCACATAATTAGCTGGGAAAAGCCCATATCTGCCTTTGCAGACTCCTCTCCACCAACCATCATCTATCATTTCAATATTGGTAATGATATCATCTGGATCAAAGGAAATCTCATCATCCCCAGCTGTGGAAAAAAACAGAAAGGTTAGAAGGTTTAGCAGAAGGACTTTGAAACTCGGGTTTAGATCAGCTGATTTTGTTTTTCTATACCCGCACCCTACGTTTCAACTCCCACCCATAGAACGAACCATCAAATAACAAAGGCGTGAACAGAATCATTTTGAAGCTGAACAATTGAAACCCAGAAACACCTGAATAAAAGGAAATCATCTCCACCAGACAGAAAACTAATCTATCAAGAGATCAAGGCAGTAGCCCAGGCCTTTCTGAATTAAGAAATATGTCTTTTGGTTGTGGACAGGAGAACAAATCCCACCAAGCAAGCCTTGCCTTTATCAGGAAGGAATTCCCAAGTTTGGGAGTAGCCACTGGCTTCACCCCTTTCTGTGGGCACTACAGAACAGCCCACCAAAAAACTGCACAGCCTTGGCTCAAAAGGAAAATCATGTTTTCAAGCAAAATATACATTTGTGTTTCACAGATTGGAGGTGCTGAGAAATAGACCAGAAACATTTTAAAATTCTGGGTTTTTTCCAGCACCCGAAAGTCAGAGCTTACCACCTCCTTCCAGGTATGTTATAGTTTAAAAAGCATTTTTGACATTCACAGGTAATCTGATAGGATCAGCAGAAAACACACAATGAGAAAAGTGAGAATAGCTCTTGCTAAAAACTTGCAACAGTGGCTCCTCCTCCTAACTCAGAGTAGTCTTCTCTGCAGGTAATGCACAGGCAGAGCTTCTGAATTAACACATCAGGCCTGCTAGAGACTTTCTACCTAGATAGCAGCTTCTAGTAGAGCCCGCACTGCACCTCATTCTACATAGGTTGTCCTCAGCCTACAACCATAATTGGGTGCCAGTATTTACATTGCTAAGCAAGACTGTTGTTAAATCACGCCTGTCTTTTTTCTTTGACATGATTGTTCAGCAAGTCACTGCAGTTTAGTGATCCGTATAGTCATTAGGCAACTCCTGCTTCCCACAACCACTGACTTTGCTTGTAAGAAGTTGGCTGAAGAGGAAATCAACTTCAAACCAGAACTATTTCTCTTGGGAATCACAAACAATAAACATAACAAGGGGCTAATCTACTTAATAATACATATTATTACGAATGGTCTTTGCCCCAAACTGGAAAAGCAGGGAAATTCCACAAGAGGAAGTAATTAGGAAAATTCTGGTTTGTGCTCAAATGGATAAATTGACATAGAAATTGAAGAACAAAGATGAATCAGAATATTATAAGACCTGGGATAAATTTTATCAATGGTTGGAACAAAAAAGGAAAGACCCAAAATAAACAATGACTAAGATTTATAGAATGGAGATTAGAATTATATATGAAATTATAACAGTGAAAACGTATAAGACAAGAACAAAGCAACAGGGATGGAAATACGATATCCTTATATTTGTAAATACTGAATAGTCCAATTGTAAAGAAGCATGGTGGTTATAATATTTAACTTTATATTTTAGTATGTATGGCAAAGACATTGCCAGGATGGTTACACTGTGTCCAACGTTTTAATGTGTGTTCAATAAAAAAAACTTTTTTAAAAAAAGAAGAAATAGTTGGCTGGGAAGGTCACAAATGATGCTTGTATGACCCTCAAGACACTGCAATCATCATACATGCTGGTTGCCAAATTTGGATCAGGTGAGGATGCTACAACAGTCATACGTGTGAGATTGGTTGCAGGTCACTTTTCTCAATGATGTTTTAATTTTGAATGGTTGCTAATTGCAAGTTGGGGTTACCTATAGAAAAATTCTATAGAAACAGCTCTTAATGAAAGCATGATGAAAGGACATGAACATAGCAATTAAACAGATTTTTTTTGGTTCCAATTAGCAAGTAGCTCAGGAGGATATATGCAGCACATCCCAAATTATTATTTTTCCCAGAAAATCCAAAAAAGGTTATTTGGAAGAGTATGGATCTCTAGCCCAACGAACAAATACAGGCAATTCTGTAGAAATCCAAGCCTAAATATGTTCTGAACCAAAACTATAAAGCTAGTTATTGTGTTACTTACCAGCCTGATAATCATATAGGGCTATAGCTGTTATTCCAAGGTCATTTTCATATTCATAAGCAGTTTCATCTAAAAAAAAAGATACATTTCACTACAGGACTTTCAAATCATCTACTTTGTACACCGTCTGGCATTTATAAAGGTGTCTCCTTATTGGTACAATTAGACTGAATGCTGAGTCATCAATATAATATTTGCATTTTTACTGCACCCATTGGGAACTGCTAGTTAAGTAGCCTCCTCGCAAATTACTCTTTGTTTAAGTTACATGCTCCTTGAAGTGACTTCCTCTCAAATATTTATTTGTGTTAACTAGCATTGATTCACCTATATTGAGCCCTGCAACCAAGTGAAAAATGTGACAGTAAATAAGTTTTTTCTCATTTTCGGCCTATGTTGCTACTTAACATCTATCTTGCCCCTAACCGCCAATCAATTTAAGGCAGCATGCTGAGTTTTTCTTATACTGGCCAGACCTGTGTGATCATATCCTTGAGCAACATAAAGGTAAAGGTAGAGGTTCCCCTCACACATATGTGCTAGTCCTTCCTGACTCTAGAGGGCAGTACTCATCTCTGTTTCAAAGCCGAAGAACCAACGTTGTCTGAAGACGTCTCCGTAGTCATGTGGCTGGCATGACTAAACGCTGAAGGCGCATGGAATGCTGTTACCTTCCCATCAAAGGCAGTTCCTATTTTTCTACTTGCATTTTTACATCATTTCGAACTGCTAGGTTGGCAGAAGCTAGGACAAGTAACAGGAGCTCACTCCATTACACAGCGCTAGGGAGTCGAACCGCTGAGCTGCTGACCTTTCTGATCGACAAGCTCAGCGTCTTAGCCACTTAGTCTTAGACAACATGGAATTACCCAAAGATTCAGACGTGAAAAGAGAAGCTGTTTAACCTGCTTGATACTGATTTCCTACTGCAGCCTCTTCGTACACGGTCCCCGATTCATAGGCCGGCTCTCTCTGACTAACTGCTTCTTGATAGTCAGATTCTTCAGCTTTGTTGTCCTGTTCTGGCTCCTGTACATTTGGAAGACTTGCATTGGAACTTTTATAATCAGATTCGAAGGAAGCAGCATCCTACACAAATAAAAGCAACAATTATGCAAGATATCAATTATCAAAAATTTATCAAGAAGTTCCCTGTTGCTGTTAAGTTATCATTGTTGTTGAAGTGAGTTATAATTACACTTCTGGTGATATTTCACCTGGCAATTCATGATTCTTCAAAATATTGGATTATCAACATTATCCACTGTGATCCATTAAGCAAAAACACCGCAAAATAATAGGGCCCCATGCACTATTCTCAAACATGGTGGGTAGGCTGGGGCAAAAAACTACATCTAATTTCATCTGGAATGCAACATTTATTAACGTTAAAAGTAATTTGACACAGAGATTGCTTTCCATAGTTCTTCCCCTTCTAACACTTTAAAAATTAGTTTGGCCATTTTGGACACATCTTGGAAATTCAAGCAGAAAACTTTTAGGGCAATTTATGAGGTCTCCAACTGGGTCTCTCAGACACAGTAAAATGTGCTAAGAGCCCCTACCCTATGTGAGTGGATTTGGGAGGAACAACAACACGATTTCTCTGGGTCTGCCTTCAATCTTTAGGAAAGTATTCAAAAGAGGACTGGGCTGCAGAGTGCTTGAAGGGAAAACATGATTGGACTGCCTAGCAAATATTTAGTTAGCAATTATGCCTTGTTTTCTGGAACATACTTTTTGAGTCCATAGAAAGCGGCAGTCTATAGTATAGTGTAATAAACAAACAAACAAAGATGGCTTGTGCATTCTCTGCAGGAGCACCCAACCCCATTGGCAGCACATTTGAGGGCTCAGGAAAGGCTGTTGCCCTACCTTACCCCACCTACATTAAGAATTTCTCTAGCACATTATTATGTATAACTAGTCAAGCCTGATATAGATAGGTGTTTGATTGGTTTATATAGTTAAATTAATCTAAAAATTGTAGCTTTTCCAACTCAAGTTATAGGGCAACCTGTTAAATGGATTTACCTGTTTTATTTATTATTTTACTGGAAGAAGGATATGAATGTCATGAATATGCTACACAAAATGCATTGGAAAAAGGACTCTGACACTGAAACAACCAAACCAACCTCGTAGATTGCATCCGATGGCACTTTTTCTTCCACTGGTTGTGGAGCTAGAGGTTCAGGAGGATTCTGTTTCTTGCATTTGGCTTTTTCCTTTTCAAAAAATGAAAAAAAAAAGAAAGTATGATTTTCAAAAACTATTATGTAGCTTAAACATATATCAATAGGCACAAAAATATTTTTTTAAGGTAAAGATCTTAATCATAGTTATTTGAGGATACGCATTCATGGTGCAGAAGACTAAAACTGAAGGCAACTAATATGCAGGAAGTGTTACAATGGTGGGTTGCAGGCGGTACGCCCCGGTATGGGTGTACCAGATCCTGCCCGGAGCACCAGGTACCATTCCAGTACGGTGCTTCGGAGGGCCCACCCACCCGCGCTCCTTACCTATGCTTTAAGCTTTTGGCGCTTCCGCATATGACCCCTGCACAACACTCCGCCGAATAGTTGGAGTGTTGTGGAGGCTTGCAGAAGTGTCATTTGATGCTACAACGCATGCGCACCACACACGTGCATGTGGGTGACTCCGGGGCCGTTCCAACCGTACCGGTTGGAATGGAATCCAGAACCCACCACTGAAGTGCTACCTTGGATTAAGACTACCCGGGGGTACTGATTCAAGTGATTTTCAGTTCTTCATCACAGGACTACAACTGGGAGGAGAAATATTTGAGGCAGGGACCATCTTGAGAGCTATAATTATGCAAGTGGGAATGAGGGGAAGAGGGTAATTGTAATTTGTATTATTTGTACAATGACATCCTCAGGTGTGACACCCACTTCTTACAGGTGCCTAGGTTGCTCATGAAATGCCATTATTGGGTTTTCCATCCCGATTCTGTCACTTGGAATGAGATAGCTCATGTGTCTCTTCCTCCATCACAGCCTTTCTCTGAGGACTTCATAACATGTGATTCACTTAATGACCATGTCAGTTACTTAACAGCAGTGATTAATGAATGTGGTAAAAATTGTAGTAAAACCAGGTCTGGTCACTTGATAAGGAACCATATTGTTTAGCAATTGAAACCCTGTTATGGTCATAAGTCAAGGACTACCTGTATTTTAACACATGTCCATGGAACACCACACATTTAAATACTGATAAACTGCCCACAGACACAACTGTTGGGTGGGAGGGCAGACTATAAATACAACATATAAACTCATGTAAACATTTTATGAATCAAGTCTATAAATCTTCCTCCTGCCTTGTTGACCTCAGAGATTTATTATTTTCCATCTTTATCAGGGATTGTGTGAGGTAAATTAAGCCATTAGAGTACTTGTGCATTGTATTACACAAGGTGCACGTATTATACAGCAGACAATTTCTTTTTACACATTAATGTCTCATAAAGAAACACTGTGGGTGGCACAAGACAGCCCATGCTAGGAAAGGCTGCTTGCAATTTCCCATGGGTTACCTTTAAATGTCATGTCTTAAATGCATTCTAAAAAGGTAGCAACTGAGGAGCAATAATCTAAAATATTTCTTAATTAAAACCATACATGGAACTACCAGGTTGCTTTTCCATTTCTTTGATTGAAATGACTTTTTTTTCCTGCAGCTCAGCACATAAATAAATAAAAGTGCCAATTTTTATACAATAAAAATACATTTTATACAATAAGCTATCTTATTTTTCAAGAACTAAAATTACTACAGAGAAGATAGCATTCATCCGCCTTCAATAAATTTAATACATCTTTTCCAGCAGACTCTGCATATTGTATGGCAAATCTACCTCAGAATGTTACCAGGAATGCATGTCCTGGCAACTATATTTTACCAAATGCAGCTAATACTTCTCCTAACTTTTGCTTTAAATTTACCAGTGAAATGTAGTCTTAGGACACTTGTTGAGGTCAATAGCTTAATAGAATTCAACAGGAGTACAATAACACAAAAGTCCTGGCTAATGATCCTATATATAATATTATATTAGCATATATCTTAGTGACAATAATATAAAAATGTAATTTTAAATATAATTGTCAGTTTGGTCTAGTGCAGAGGTAGTCAACCTTTTTATACCTACCGCCCAATTTTGTATCCGTTAGTAGTAAAATGTTCTAACCGCCCACCGGTTCCATATTAATGGTGATTTATAAAGTAGGGAAGTAACTTTACTTTATTTATAAAGTAAAAGCAGAGTTACAGCAAACCCATACCGCCCACTATGAAAGCTGGAACGCCCACTAGTGGGTGGTAGGGACCAGGTTGACTACCACTGGTCTAGTGGTTAAGATACCAGGCTAGAAACCAGAGACCGTGAGTTCAAGTCTCGCTGTAGGTATGAAAATCAACAAAGGCTCTGCCATAGTGTGACAATTTCTTATATTTTATATGATTTATACTGCAGCAGGTGTCAAGTTGTGTGGCTCCTTAGAAAACAACCACAGGTAATCCTTGACTTACAACCACAATTGAGTCCATTCTTGTTGCTAAGCAAGGCAGCTGTTAAGTGAGATTTGCCCCATTTTACAACTTTTTTTTACAACAGCTGTTAAGTGAATTACTGCAGTTGTTAAGTGAATCATGTGGCTATTAAGCAAATCTGGTTTGCCCCATTGACTTTGCTTATCGAAAGCCAGCTGGGAAGGTTCCAAATAGTGATCACATGACAACACCCCACCCCACCCCGAGGCACTGCAATGGTCATATATATGCCAGCTGCTGAGCAACTGAATTTGATTCCGTGACTCTGGGGATGCTGCAATGATTGTAGGTGTGCCACTGTAACTTCAAACGGTCACCAAACAAATGATTGTAAATTCAAGGACTACCTGTATTTTCATAACTCTTTTACAATCCATAATTTAAGAGTCTTAGAATAATTACTACTTAGTTATATAAAGAAGCTTTTAAAGAAAGCTGACACATATATCCTGATCTTGATTTTACTCTGTTAGAATCTACACTTGCAATGGTGCAACTAAAGTCAGGAGGAGATGGGGAGAGCGGAAGGGATTGTGAGAAAGACAAAAGTATGAATTTCACCAACTTCGATTATCCTCCTAGCCTCTTCTTGTTCCTCCTTGTCCTTGGCCATCCTTTGAGCTCTTTCAATTTCTGCCTTTCTTCTGTCTTCTTGTTCTTTATCCTTAGCTAGATTTTCAAAGTTAGCTCTGATGTTGCTTGTTTTGGCATTTGCTGTAATGGTTCACAATATGAAAATGATTATCCGTTAAGTCATTTTCCCACCCCACAAAACTTCAGAAACAATTCCCAATCATTTGCTCTCAAAATCCAGACTAATTATTTAGTGTACTGGTCAGACTACAAATTATCTGTGCTTATAAAAGATCACAAGGTGCGGCTAAGGAGAGTAACTCATTCAACTTCCCGAGAGAAACATCTGCCACAAAACATGCATCGGCTGAAAACTTAAACTGAACCCATCTACATACTACTAAAGCGCCTGTGTCTGTTGGATACTTTGCAACCTTCAATTGGATGAAACTTTGTCAACGAAGTTACCTCAAAGAGGCTATTCTGCAGGCTCCTGGGACCCATTATTCTCAAATTTGGAGAAATTGTGGCTGCTTCAGAGCTACTGTCAGGGTGCTGCTGCTTCAGTACCACCACGATGCTTTTGCAGTCACATGATCCTCATTTTCAACGACAGCTTCCTGGTCACTTGTCCAACCTCTCACTTCCCTCCCCTCCCCTGCCTGCTGGAGGGAGATTTCTGATGCTCAATGCCTCACAAGGAAATTCAATGGGGGAAGCCAAATAGGAAGTCGAAGTCACTCCTACCCTACTGATTTTTTTTGCCATGGTCATTTTGTTTTCTTTGTTTAGGTAAGGAAGTATCTCTGAAATGATACCCTCAAAGGGTCATGGGTTGTCTACTTACTGATTTAAATTAGAAATAAAAGGTAACTCCAAATATATGACCAAAGATAGGTTGACATATTCGGTTTCAATAATAGCCCCTACAATTAGAGATTGTAGGCAGAAAACAATTACTGTATTTTTCGGACTATAAGACACACCGGTGTATAAGATGCACCAAGATTTTGAAGAGATAAGAAAGAAAAAAAGGTTTTTGTCTTCCCCAGCCCCAGGAGCACTCTGCAGGCTTCAGCAGGGTTGGGGCAAGGCAAAAACACTCCCGTTTTCCATCCACTTTCCACCAAAATGGGGGCATTTTCCCCTTCCCCCAGCCCTGCTGAAGCCTGCAGAGTGCTTCTGGGGGTGGGGGAAGGCAAAAACACAGTTTTTTGCGAAAAACAGCCCATTTTTCACAAACATGGGATGTATTCAGTGTATAAGATGCACCAATATTTCCACGCTGGTTTTTGGGGGAGGGTACGTCTTACACTCCGCAAAATACAGTATATTAGATGGCTACTTGGCTTTTGTTTTTTTCACCCACATTTTAAAAGCTAGACCTTTCAAGACTTGTTAGCAGCTCTTTGCTGATAGAGTCCTGAGATTTTTAAGATGTTAAAGGAAACACAACTATATACTGTATTTTGCGGAGTATTAGATGTTCCAGACTATAAGACAGACCTAGCTTTTGGGGAGGAAAACAAGAAAAAATATCTGCCTCTGCCTCCCAGCATCCATCCGGTATTCATCTGGCCCGTCCACTGGGGCCCATCCGCTGACGTCTGTTCGCCAAGGCCACCACGGCCCCTTCTAGTTCAGCTGATTGGCACTGCACCAACTCCCCTCCCCCTCCGCCGCAATATTCGCTGTATAAGACATGAAGACTTTTCCACCCACTTCTTGGGGGAGGGGGGGGAGTGCATCTAATGCTCTGAAAAATACAGTAATTAAAAAACCATGAAAAGAGGGATCTTACCAGCTTCTACTGGTTTGGTCTTCTGGTATGTTGAAGACAATTTCTCAATATCTTCGAAAGATGATGCATTCTATCAATACAAGGAAATGGAAACCAGTTCATATAAAGCACGGTTCCTCAACATTGGCAACTTTAAGATGTATGGACCTCCAACTTACTTGCTAGTTGGAGAGTTTTAAAAATTGAAGTTCATACATCTTAAAATTACTAAGGGTGAGAAACACTGACATAAAGGAACAAAAATAAATTTCTTAGACAAACCACAGCAGTTACTATTACATTATAGGTAACTCAGATACACAAGTTCTTCTCAAACTTTATGAAATGAATTTATGCAAGACAGAAAGAGGTGCATATTCAAACCTTCCTCTTAACTGGGAAAGCTGTACTAGAACTATAATATGTACATACTGCACACACACAAATCAGAATAACGGAGTTAGAAAGGATCTTGGAGGTTTTCTAATCCAATCCCCTGCTCTAGGAAGAGCCCCTATACCCATGATGGGAAACCTCTGGCACGTGTGCCATAGGTGGCACGTGGAGCCATCTCACGTGAGCCGTTGCTCTATGTCAGCTCCAGCGTGCATGCGCACCTTGGCCAGCTGATTTTCAGCCTCCCGCGCCCCCCCCCCGGAGGAAATACCAAGCTCAGCTTGGAGGCACGTAGTGTGGCGCACTTGGGGGGAATGTGGAGGGGAGGTTGTGCAGGCATGCGCACGTGGGGGCGTGCTTTGTATTATGGGTGCCAGCATGTGCACCCGCTATCGCACACGTACACTTGCATTTTGGGCACCCAAGACAAAAAGGTTAGCCATCACTCCCCTATACCATTCCAGACAAGTGGCTGTTCAGCCTCTTCTTAAAAGCCTCCAGTGAGAAAGCACCCACTTTTGAAGGCAAGCCGTTCCACTGGTTAATTGTTCTCACTGTTAGGAAATTTCTCATTAGTTCAAGGTTGTTTCTGTCCTTGATTAGTTTCCATCCACATATTATCTTGCCCCACACATGTATACATACACTCCTACATACCATTGGAAATGTTTTAACTGCATTTGTGCTTTGAACAGGGGTAGAACTCTGTGGCAAATTCAGATTTTGTTATTCTATGATTCCTGGTAGCCAATAGTTCCTTTTTCTTTTCATATGTGCACTAAAGTGTCCAGGTTTCTGCTATAAAGCAAAATCTTAATAATATGTATAAGTGGGATGTGCATGCTTCAAAAATGACATGCAAGGGTTCAGAATTCATGCAAACCAAAGCAACTTGCTAGTCATTAAAGCAGCCCATCTTTTTTCATTCTTGCACATGTACCTAAAAGATTTGCTGCTTTGTGATCTGCATTAAATAGCAATAGCAGTTATAGCAGTTAGACTTATATACCATTTCATAAGCGGTATATATCTAAGCAGTTTACAGAGTCAGCATATTGCCCCCAACAGTCTGGGTACTCATTTTACCCACCTCGGAAGGATGGAAGGCTGAGTCAACCTTGAGCCTGGTGAGATTTGAACCGCTGAACTGCAGATAACAGTCAGCTGAAGTAGCCTGCAGTACTGCACTCTACCCACTGCGCCACCTCGGCTCTGATGATGTTGCCTACTTGGGTAATGAAAGATCTTCAAGAAAACCAACCATGTTCCGAGGGCACCCATAGACACTTCAGTTCTGAGCGATAAATATTC